TGGGTTCCTTCGAACCCACCCAGGCGCTGGGTTCCTTGCGAACCCAGCACGCTTGCCCGGGTTGGGTTCCAAGGAACCCAGGGGTTACGCCTGGGTACCAACCCACGCCGGAACCCAGGCGTGGGTTTGCCTGGGAACCCAGGCGCTGGGTTCGAAGGAACCCAAGCGCTGGGTTCCCTCGAACCCAGGGGTAAAAAATATTTTTTTTTTCTGTGGTTTTGGTGTTTGATGATGATGTGTTTGATGATGATGAAGAAAGCAAGGCAAGGAAGAGGAAGGAAAAAAAAAGGGCGTTGTTGGGTTCGATTCAACCCAAGTGCTGGTTTTGTTTGGTGCTGGGTTTATTTGCTGGAGGAAGAAGATGATGGCAAATTCGTAATTTTGGTGGGTCCCACTTTTGTTGGGTTGGGCAAGGAGGTGACATGTCACGTTGCCATGTCATTATTTATTCATTTATACAACTAACGTGTCTTAAAGGTTCGACATGTCATTAAATTGTCGTGAGATAACGGTGAGATTTTAACGGAAGGATCAAATCGGGGTAAATGGTAAACAGTAGGAACCAAATCAGGGATTTTTTTAGTTCAAGGACCAAATCGGGGGTCCGTACAATAGTTCAGGGACCAAAAAGGGGTTTTAACCAAAAAAAATATATTATAATGTATAATCAAATATTTTAGAAAGAGATAAAGATTTAATTTGTGACTAGCACACTATAAATTTTGGATAAAAATTGTGCCTTTAGTAATGGACAAAAACTCCTATTAAATATTGTGATTCAAGTTTATTGTAGGATGTAATAGCAAACAAAATGCAAAGGAATCTTGAGATGGATTACAAGAATTAAGTACTTATTGTACTCAAATTAATAATATTATTGTTATTTACAAAAAAAATAAAAATAAAATAAATAATTTTACCTTGACATTATGAAAACAACAAACATCTATAGTAATAAGTTATTCTTTAAAATTGTGTAATTCTCTCAATCGATGATGAAAAACAGAATAAAAATTTAAATTCTCTATCATTTTTTAATGTTTAGATTGATGTAAAAATATTATTATTTTAACTTTCAAAAAGTTATTTTAGAGGGTTTTTGTCCGCTTTTTCAATCTTTTTAGGATGTGTTTACTAATTTATTTTACCCTAATTTTAATTAATTTTTCCTAGAGAATTCCCGACACGCGTTCAGTGCCAACACCACATGTTTTCGTGTCAACTCATTAAGACTTTTATATTGTCCGAATCAGCTCCAAGTCAGGGCAGCCATCTATCAATTTTTTTACACGAGCAATTTAGTGGATCCCATGAACGAAATCTGTTTGCCAAGTCAGCATTGATATCTAATTAATTATTAAATAGTAAAATTGAAAAAGTGATATCTTTGATTAGATATTTTTGAAAGATGATAATATTGATTAGTTCAATAAAAAAGTAATATATATTTAATTAAAAAAATTTTAAAAAGTGATGTTTTGATATGTGTAAAATCTTCATCAATATATGCATAAAAAAATGTTAAGTTTACAATGTTATGTAAAATTGTAAACTTACAATCATGAATGTCATTGTATGATTTACTTTTTTTTATTCAAGAGACCTTATATAATACTATATGCATCTACTTATTTAATATCATATTATTATTATATGATGTTATAAGTATAAATTTAGATGGATAGTTTCGATTGCTCAATTTTTTTTTCCACGGGTCAGTGATAAATTCAGCAGTATCATGGGAATACTTTTAGTCAATAGGAAATCATAAGCTATATTTATTTCATGTAACTTGGTCTAACATCAAAAGTACAAGTTCAATTTCAGAAAAAACAAAAAAACAAAAAAAAAAAAAATAGAAGTAAATAGAGTATCAAACGAATTAGAATGTTCGAGCAATCAAATCAAACTTATGTAGAATTATTTATGGAACCAGCTGATGGGAATTAGATTCTACGACCAACGAACTTGTCTTTAATTGCGCGCAATTCTGCAATGGCTTCTTTCATCTCCATTCTTTTAGTTGGTGATGCGCCATTGAGTAGAGGTCTCCTACCCTTGCCACTGCAACCAAGCTCTCCAAAATACAAATTTTCGTTCCTCGATTCCTCGCTCCTGAATGTGCGTCATCTTGTACCTCCTGCGGTAGTGAAGGTTCTAAAATATCCATCACCCTGTCAGGTAGTGCTGTTTTAATGAAATGGTGAATGGTGAAATTGTCCTGAAATAATGAATTTGTTGGTCGTTTTCCTATAATCATCTCCAACAAGAGAATTCCAAAGCTGTATACATCTCCAAGTTTGGATGCATTAGGAAGGAAAAGTTGTGTGATATCGTTGATTTATTATGCTAACTATAAATGCTAGCACAAAGAAAAAATTGAAAAGATTGAAATAAACAAAGATAATTAAAATAATTACCTGGGGCTAGGTAGCCAATTGTTCCTTTTACACCAATTGAACTAATTTGTTGATGAGGAATGGATAGAATATCCAACTTTGGAATTCTACCAAGTTCTAGAATATCCAACTTTGGAACTCTACCTCGCTCTACCCGAATGCTTTCATGTAGACCTAGCAAACAAGTCAGATTGGGACATCTCAAATCTTGAGTTTTTCAAATTGAGTCATTTCGGGTGTCGGATTAAAGGGGTAAGTCCATAATCCACCCATATAAATCTCGGATTGGGTAAGGTGCATCCAACTTCTAAAAAGTTAAAATTAAAATTAAAAATTTTCTATACTTTTTTTTTTCTTTAACAAAATCTAATACTAATTAACTATTTAGTTAAAAAACTCTATTAAACGCTAATGTTTATGATTCAATTTTCATTTCAATCTCAAAAAAAGAAAATGGAAAAATTACTGATTATATAAGTGAAAATAAAATATAGGTTAAATATATAATACCTATATAATATTTAGAATTCATAATTTCATAAAGACACTTTCATAAAGACACTTACATTCATTAAAAGAAGAGACATGAAATATTAGAGTTCAAAAGACAAAACTAATACATATGTTAATATCTAGTGTCTATTTAATATTTATAAGGGTATTATAAAAAAAATACAGTTCTGTTCAATATTTGAAAGGACATTATACAAAAAATATAGCTCTATTCAATATTTAAGTTCAAAAGGCAAATTCAAAATATGTCTAAACAAATACAAGAAAAAATTGAATCGTGATTGATTTTTATTAACTAGAAACAAATTATTAATTAAGAACAAATTAACAATTAAGTACAAACCTTAATGTTCTTATTTTTGTGCTTCTAATGGTGATGAGGGTACCTCAATCATTGAGTTTTGATTTTCAATAGGCGTTCTTGCTTTCTACTTAAAAAAAAAAAAATCTTTTTGACAATACCATATGACACAGCTCATTATGTAACTAATATGATTTTTTATGCAAGTGCCACTAAAGAAAAGGATTAAAGAGCTTAAGATGAAGAAGGGGAGAGCGAGAGTGGAGAAGAGGAAAAGTTGAGAGAGTGAAATTGATGGGAGGTTAGGGTTTGGGTATTTTATTTATTTTTATTTTTAGAATTAAGAATTAGAAATTTAAAATTAATTTTTAAATAATCTAATAATAAATAAATAAATAAAAGTTCGAGTTATTTTGAGTGTGACCTAACCCACTCGTGACCCAACCCATTTAGGTTTGAGTAATTTCAATTCAGGTCATTTTAGATTAATACATAAGATCCATGATCCGACTTATAATGGATAGGTTAAGTTTGATTTTTTGTTTGGATCCAATTTTGCTAGATCTACTTCCATGTAAATTCTTTCTTTTCAAAACCAATATTTCAAGTGAAGACGTATTCCCCAACCATTGTGGGATACTTTCAATCAAGGTTTTGAAAATCGGACCGGATTGGTCGGTCGAACCGGTTGAACCGACACTTAATAGTATAAATGGTTCGGTTCCATTCTTTAAACCGTTTGAAGATCAAACCATTTGAAAACCGGTAAAAACCATTGGAACCGCTCAAACCGGAAAACCGTTCGACCGGACGGTTCAATGCTTGAGAACAAAAGCTTGAGAAATTTGTCCCCCATGAAGCTTGAACTTGCAACCTTGAAGTCCTTTTAGTTTATTCCAACCCTTTGCCATCAGGACAATGCACTCCGTTTGTCAATGGATGCTTGAAATTTTATTTATTCTATTTCTAAACCATAATTATTTAAAGTTTGTTCATAAGAGTACTCGAACCTATGATCTTTGATATGAGAAAACAACCACCTACCATTGCACTCAATGGATATCTTGTGAAATACCTTACAAAATAATATATTTATACTATATTAATGAACCGGTGGTTTTACCGATTAAACTGATTAAACCAGTCAAACCGTGAACCAGAGGTCAAAACGGTTTGACCTCCGGCTCGGGTTTAAAAACATTGCTTTCAATTAATTGATTCCTAGAGAAGTGGATAATGCGTACACTTTTTGAAAGATTTCGAAGCGCAACAGGAATTTCACCAGTACGGCCATTCTCGCTTAAATAGACATCTTGTAATCTTGAGCAAAATGCCAAATCGCTTGGAATTTTGCCTTGAAGGTCATT